AAAAAGTTTAATTGAAAAGTAAAAAGGCAAAGATTCCTCACAAAACAAAACACTTAATAAACAGTTGACTGGACATGACGAAACACATCTGTAAACACCCAACAAACGTTCAAAGTCAGTAACTAAACCTAACGTTCGAAAGGGGCTGAGTGATGGGAGTAGCGCAAGAGTATCGGTGCAGTCTCACCCACAAGTTGGTTTTCGGCGGTGATGAGAAACCGGAACGCCGTGACTCCTGCGTCATGCGTGGGCTGGACGAGGACGAGGGAACGCTGGCTGCTGGCGACACGTCGAAAAGCCCTACCAAATCGTGATGGTTTCGGCTTGAGGAGCGTGGACACGTCGGAGACGGGAGAACGCAGGCTGGTGGCGACGCGTCCGGGAACTAGGGTCGACCTAGTCAAGCAGCTGGGCGCACAGCTCGGGCCCGGAGCCCGACGGCTGTAGCTCGCCTGCCGGAACCGAAGTCCGCAGGCTCTGGAAAGGAGTTCAGGACCGGATGGCCACGGTCCTTTGGAGCGGGAACCCGACAGCAGGAGGCCCCGGCCGGTGGAAGTCCTGTAGGCTCGGGTCCGGAACCCAACGGCCCATCTTCAGCGCCCGGTCCGGTGACGACCTTCCGCTTGCACTGCCTGCCTCGAATTCCCCTTGCTCTGGTCTCCCCAGGCTCCTGCTTCAGCTCTGGCCCACTTGTCTCGTTCTCATTGGAGATACTACTGTTTCGTGGTGTCAAGCCATTGGGCCTTGAAATCTCCGTGTTCGCTGCCCATTGGATGTTTTACCTTTTGTTTACTTCACGTCCTGCCACGCATCCTCGTGCTTGACGCTCTTTAACGTCGTCATTCTTGTTTAAGCAGCACCGCACGTGCACTCTGGTATTTCTCCTTTTGTTTTTTTTTTTTTCCGTGACGCGCACTTTTCGAAGGCGCGCACTTTGAACGCGCACCACACATCACAAGCAGGAGAGACCGAATCTCCAAAGGCCCCTGACATCCTTGCTAAACGTAGCAGTGTCATCGCTGGTAGATTCAGCCCTTTTGAAATGCGCAATGGGCGACGACCAGCATCGCCAAGACTTGGCTGAACTGTGTTCCCGTTTCATTAAGCCCTTCTTGTTAACTACGCCTCAGCTGCAACTGACGAAAGTGATGAGGGCAAAAACTTCATTCGAAAACCCTTGTTTAGGAAGTGCCTGAGGTTGTAATATGCCAACACATTACTGATGCAGAAGATCATAGCGACAGTTCCTGAGAAGTCAGCCGACAGGATGAACCCGTCAGCCTAAAGTGCTTCCATCGGTAATAATATGGGTGGTTTAGCGTCCCAAAAGCACGTGTGATATAAATATGAGAGGCGCCATAGTGGAAGGATCCAGAGACTTGGACCACCTGGGGTTCTTTAACACACGGGCCTCAACAATTCCGCCTCCATCGAAAATGCAGCCGCCACAGTCGGGATTCGATCCCGCGACCTTCGGATCATCAGTATCAGTCGAATGTTATAATCACTAGGCCACCGTGGCGGGGATGTCATTGGTGATTCCATATATGCCACAGTGTGCCACATCTGAAACCCGTCAGCGACATAGGAAAATGCTTTTGCTACCTTCATGAGGCCGTGTATGCCGATACAGCCATCCCCAACAGCTCGCCTGGCATTCAGCGTACCGAGCGTACCTCGCTTTGAATACCACAGTCCTGACTCCCGTCAACATCAGTGCGTCTTCGTAGTGAAACACAGCCGGTGACTTTCTTGCGACATTGCGCCCACCTTGCGCCTGTAGCGAAAAGCAGAACGAAGAATTGGGGGACCCTTAAGCTTCGCCTTTGAGTGTTGAACGCGATAGCGATTTCTCGGCCCTAGTGCACCCCCTACGTGAGCTCAAGAGAATCTGCACACTGCGGTATGCGCCGTAATGGGTCGAACGCTTTAAACCTGGAGCAATGATGGGAAGCCGGCTTTAAACCACCAACTCTGAACGTTTGTAATGGGTGGGCCTTGAAAACAGCCCCTCATTCCACAATTCACATCTTTCGACACCTGAGGCGATTCTACGCTTCCGCCACGCCATATTGAATGAGCGTAATCACCGTGACTTTGTGGTATGTCACCTGCTTCCCACCCAGACGGCCCGGGTTCAAATCTGACTCGGACCGAAGTTTGTATTATTTATTTTATTTGCAGTTTTTCGGTCACGGCTGATTTTTCGCTCACATCCAAGGACGCCGTCATTGACGCCAACGACGGATTTTCTGCGAAACGAGCTCTCGCACGCTATCAGGTTAATAATGCTGCTACATTACAAAAACCAACTCTTTCATTCCCACGCTCACTCGGCCCGATCGCGCCACCACTGCCTTCTTTGTCGTCGCTGCCTCGGCACACCAGCACTCGACAATGGCAGGGCTCCCCCGCAGCTTCACCTGCAGTCTTGTTAAGACCAGTGGAGCCTCTTTTACTTTGTTCGACATGGCTTCGTGAAAGATAGCGGTTGAAGTGGATTGATGGTACCATTTACAGAGGCTGCATATACACAAAGTTGGTTGAACTGCGTGCGACAGTTGTATGTCTCATAGATATTCGACACAAATGAAACGTCGCACTTGAATCCTCTGAAAGTTGCCTTCTTCTTTGGAACTCGTGTTTCAAACTCCAGGCGTGCCTTCGTATAGGCTCTCGATTGTTCCGCTTGCCTCGATCTCATTGCGTGCCTCATCAAACTGCTCGTCTACTCACAATCTTCTTGCACCCTAAATCTATGCGCTTACCCGAGGCTGCGAAATAGGATGGCGTCGTTCCGAAAACGTTTAGATGATGCCAGCTTGACCACACGGTTTCATCCCGGTTTCACGCTGTGACCACATGGTTTCATCCTTCGGGTCACGGCCAAACATTCTCACAGCTGCCTTGATCAACGAACGCTTGCACACGATGATTTTCTTAGTTGAAGAAAATGAAAAGGAAGAGGTCAGAAGAAGAATTCATATCGGCAACAAATTTCCAACCTATACATAACGAGGGTCTCACCGAAGTCCCAAAGAGTACTAGGTGTGTTGAGTCGGGCGCTGACAGGTCGTGGTGCGTTGAGGAAAACACATGGCAATGTGTGGCGCAGTGTGGTGCAGTATAAGGTAATTCTGGTACTGGCGTCTGCCCGACTGGCAGAGCTGCAGACTGATTCGACAATCGGCTGTTCAGACGGGCGTTGTCGACGTTTCCAGGCCCTCGAACTTGCCCATAGGCTTGAGTCCGAAACCCAACGGCAAGCGTGCACACTATTCGCCTAAGATGATGATGATGATCCTTGTTATTCTGGCGCACACCCACAAAGAGGGATCGGCCAAGACTTCGCCTATCCCGTAAAACGATTTCCCTTTACAGCACTTCTTTTCCCTCCAAACTCTAATGATTTTTTTTTTGTTTCGGTTCGAAAGGGTCTTCGGGCACGACATGAACATTTGATCAACGACACACATCATAAGTCCGTGAGTTCGTGTGCACAATTCATCACAGAAACTCAAGAACTGCAACAACCGACGTTATTCCTATAATAAAGCATTATTTGTTCAAGTACCCATCGCAGTTTATTTCTTCATCACTATGACGAGCGATGCATGGTGACTTAATATATTTATCACTAATAATAGCACGTCTTTCAAAGCTTCAAGAGTGACGTCGCAATCGCATGGTGCATCGATGGATACATGATAGCCCGTGGTATTTCAGGTGCAAAAACCATGACATGATCGTAAGAGTCGCCGTAGCGGCAGCACCGCATTTTCACACATGGGGTCAGTGACGTTGGCAGAAATTTCTTTCGGAGGGGCGGGGGGCACGCCCTTGATCCGACATGGAGTCTGGGCAGGTATATGTGGTCGAGTATGTGTCATTTTGTGCCATGTATTCCATGGTAGCAAAAACTTCCTGGCCAGGGGGGAGGGGAGATTGCACGTGCCCGGTCTGCCACCCCCTCGCTACGCCACTACATGGTGTCCTCCACAATGCAGCTGAACCACGTTGTAGAAATAATGCCTGAAATTGAGTTCGCGCTTCTTTCTTTTTAAATATTTCTTGTAGCGCCAATACGCAATCTTTAGAAATAGACGGGCTTTTTGCTTTTCTTTTTTTTTTCTGATCTCATAATGACCGACAAAAAGCATATTAAACATTCATTCTGATGTGAAAGATGGGCGGTTAACTTCACTATCATCGACACTTTGTCAGTGATAGGTAACCCACAAGTGACTGTGGAATCCTAACTCATACCACTGCTCATACTAACGCGTGGTCGCCAACATTTAAAAAGCGCGCCTTCGAACCATACGTAAGTAGCTCCTCTTACCAAAAGGTCCGCCAACAACCTTTTTTAGTTTTTAAATTAACAATACAGTAAATTATAATTACGTTTACGCCTTTTAAATTTTTTTACGTTATTTATGCTTCGCATAAGCTGCAAAAACGTAAAAAAATTATTTGAAAACACCCCTACTTGAGTGGCGCCATCACCATAATTCCGACGACCGCCGCTACCCAAGTGACCGCAGATAATCCAGCAGGCAAGGGAAATCTAGGAGGCGTTGGTCACTGTAGCTCAGCTGCACGCGCGGCTACACCAAGCCGGCACCGTCAGCGTAGAAGGTGCAGTAAAATCATGGAGCAGTGCTGCACCTTTCGAATCGAATGGCAAGGTTCAGAGGTCGTCAATACTGCACCACTGAAAGGAATGGCAAAGTGCAGCACCTCGTGAACTGGTTCACGTGGTGCAGGCGAATCAAACAAACCTTAGGTACATTAACCGAGTTTTTCTGCGAATTACTGTAGTTGCGAGTGCATCGGTGTCCTTTTGATTCCTTTTGTGTTTGTTTTCGTGCGCTGCTTTATAAGTAAACATGAACTATCACCAACTCGCCCAAATTTCAACGTTACTCTAAACTTAGCGGTGCCTATGACAAGTAGTGGTTGCAGTGTGGCTACCATGATACAATATGGTTCCGCCCAAGGAGGGTTACAGTATAGAGGCTAGAAGGTTTAATTACAGAATAACAAGCTCGTCGATGATACAGTGAACTAAAAATATTGTCAGCTGTCTTTTAGCGCACCCTTGCTTGAACACTTCACACTCAGACAACGAGTGCCAGTTTTTGAACAACTCCGCTGCTTTCACTTGCTTCTCTTCGGAATTGAGCGTGTGCGAGTCGCGAGAAAAGTGCGCGAAGTTTCATTCAGTGGCTTCGCATCTTTCGTGTGAACTACTTGCGCTAACAAGTTGGTAAAGACTATCGCTGAACAACCAAGTTACCTTGGAGGCCGTTAAAGGCAGTACTGACGCAACGCAACAAAGCACACAATGCTCCCCTGAACAAGGAAGTTGGTTCTGTCGGATACTTCGTGGGATTCAGAGGTAGTGTTTTATAAATTAACCACGGTCGCCCGACAATAATGAAGCGAGTTCGAACCAAGCTGCGTCTACTGCCCGATTCCGCCTCAAGCGGAAGCTGTGACAGCAACGGCCTGCATGTCAGGATCAGCCGAAACGTCGCCGACGAGCTGTCGCTTGGCGACGGCACCACCGGCGGTACTCTGGCGCTAGTCGCTCCCGAAAACGTCTCGCTCACGTACCCGGGCCTTTTCGTCAACTACGAGGTCGTGGACGATCGCGAAGTGCCGAGTTTGTCGTATTCCGGGACTACTGTCGCGCTCTTCGTCACTCGGGACTTCTTGAAGCGACGTCGAGGATGGGAAGATGGGCAAGCCGTGGACGTTCTGTGCGGAGTGCGGTGTCCGCGCCTGACCAAGGTGTCGTTGCTGGCGAGGAGCCCCGACGCGTACGCCAAGCTTAACAGCGCAGACCTGTGGGAGGTCCTGGGTGGAGGTGCCGGGAGCGACGGCGTACTGTGTCGCATGGACGACAGCCTTGCCGCCTTCGGTGGGGACACCGTGCTCGTGGTCGACTGCGAGCCGACGCGTCAGGGACTCATCGTTGCCGAGACGCAGGTGCTCCGTCTCACGTCTTTGCTACGTGAATGTGGTGTTGGGGTAACACCGTGAAATCCTGCGCGCGTCACTCTTTGGATTGCTTTGTGCCCACGACGTCAGTTGTGGTTGTTCATAGTTCTTATGCAGTTTTTCTCAATGAGGACACAGCGTTAAGCTGAAGGGTTCGCTAATGTAGCCCCTTGCAAATCGTTGAACGGCGTCATAGGGTGGCTGCATTTTAGATAGCACTTGAGCCTTAACCAGGTGCGATTATCCTATCGTGATTGGCGCCTTTTTCACATATCGCCAGTTAGCGGCGCCTTTTGCAATGAGCCGCTCACTGCCGATGAATTCTCATCTGTATAGCCTTGACCAAGATCATAAGCCATATGAATGGATGGATGGATAAACTTTATTAGGTCCTTCAGAACGCGCTTTAGCAAGTTGCTGGCCGCTACAACGTCAGAACGAAAAGACAATGTTTCTCTGCTGCATTACAGGCTCGTTGGACTGCCCATTACTGTTGTTCAAATCTGGAGGTGGTAATCGCAGCCTCCCACTTGGGCGGCACGATGAATTCGCCTCAGTGTAAAGTGGTGTACCGCCAGAGTTTCCGTTCCCGATTAGTTATATCCGAGCATAAGGAACATGTGTTAGAGGTATTTCAGGATAAATCTTGTGTAAAAGTGCAGGGTTAGGCCTACCTGAAGTAGCCTAAGTGTCAGAGCCTGAGGTCTGCTTAATTTTTGGTATGGTGGAGGCTATTGTCTCCACACCAAGTCAAATGTGTGACAAAAAAACCTCTCAAAATCCTTACCTTAATTATCCCCAACTCGCTGGTCTCAATCGTTCTCTCAATGGATTCTACCGTGTGTTGCGTAGCTAGTTCGGTGCACTAAACTGCAGGTAACGCACACAGCTGAAAGCTAGTACTGCCACATAGAAAACAGGTACAATCATTTGGGGCATTCACGTGCTGATATGCATGCAGACCGGTTGGCATTGGATCATGAGTGTGTGTGTTATAGGGACAAGTCAGGCATAAGAAATGAGCATGCATAGAATATGTATGATGCCAGTGTGGGTTAAGTGAGTGCTACTTTCTTCTTTGCCTATCTTCCTTTATGCTTGCCCACATACCCAATTAAGCAATTTACACCGGCTAAGTTCACTCAATAATATGGAGTACAAGTGCATTTATTTCTACAGACATTTGAAAGGTAACTACCATTGCTTTGCTAACTGAAGTACTGTTTTAAAAACAATATATGTTATAACAATCTTTTGCAGTAGGCAGCGATGATGCTGAGCTATATTCCATGTTTGTGGCTCAAAGGTGGTAAACATATCGCAGTGAACACATCTCGAGAAGCAGGGACGGAGGAATGAAATGCAGCATTTGTGTTATAGCTGTGTCTCAATCTTCATTTATTAGTCTCTTTTCTGATCACCCATGCCTCAATATAAAAAATGTCTGATACTACTATCACGTAGCACATTTTTCAGTGGCACATTCAGATCACTTTTGTTAGCCATGATCGGCTCGTTTGTGCAAATTGCGTGGAAAAGGACACTATTGTGGTGGAGAAAGTTGGCCAAGCTTTCACTTGATTGCGCTGAAAACAGCTGTGCAGCGTTAATATCACAGAAGGAGCTTCATTGTTTCCAATATTCATTATAAGCACATATCTGTTTCAGTGTAATACATTGGTGAGACTGCTCGAATTGATTGGTTATGTTTGTTTGTTAATTGTTCTGTGTTCATTGCATTGTGCTTTGACAGTACTGTACAGATAAGATAACACTTGTCTAGAGCAGCCGAATGCTTGGTTGCGCAGACTGTTGTTTTCTGCAGCTGCAACTTCACACTAGCTGCCAGCTCCGTTCGTGCTTGAATTATAACACAAGGACCTAGCGCGTGGTATGACTAAGTTTGGTGTTGTAACAATGTGGGTCTTGGCATATTCAGTGCGGAGCACTCTAGGAGTTGGGCTGTTGCAGGCTGTGGCCGTATGTCGTCGTTGCTTGGTGTAGTGCAGGCAAAACCGCGTACACTCACCTGATATTAAAACACCCGGATGTAACGAAATGTCGGTTATAACGAAGTAAGGGATAAATAGTCTTGCTATAGGAATAGTGTTAGGAATGAACCGCTATAATGAGTTCTTGGATGTAATGAACCTACTTTTATGTTAAGATGCAACTTTGTTATAAGGATGTTGGAGTGTACAGCATATCTATTTCAGCATGTGCTCACGCCGACGAGAGGTCTTTTTTCCTTTTGTTGTTTGAACGCCTTGATGATATTAAGTGTGAAGCACTTTAGGGGCCCGAGCTGTCATATGCTGGCGTTGCTTAGTGTAACGCAGGCAAAACTACCTCTAAATATTGAAAAAGGCAGAAAGCAAGCAAATAATAGAAAGAGAGAGAAAGGAAGCAAGAAATAGAAAAGAAAATACAACAAAAAAACTCGGGAATAACTGGAAAAGAGACAAAGACAGAGAACGACGAAAAGACACAAAGGGGGCTGACCAACTCTGCGATTCCTTCGGGCTTAGCTCCACTCGGATGCAGCTGCCTTAATTTATTTTTTCTGACAATAAACCGCTACTGTAGCGGTCGTTCGGTGCTCTAGACACAATTGATTCTGTTTGTACTTTCGGTGTACGCTGAGAATCACGTTGGTCAACATCAACGTGGTATCTTAAAGCGATAGCATTGGGGAGCTCGTTTTGCAGATATTGCGCTGTCGTTGTTGGCCCTGTTGGTTGTGAGTGACAAATCTCGTCCACGACATAAAACTTGAGATATACGCAAGTAAAAGAAACGACGAGATTTCCGGCTTTGAGTGAGCATCAAACCCAGGTCATTTGCCTGGCAATCAGGTGTTTCACCACACAGCCACGCATCTGCTTATAAATACAATGGAAAGAACTTCCTCTGCTTGGAAGTGCAGTGAAAATAGCCTTCACCCTTTACAAACTCGCCTGTCATGTATGCAGGCTTCACAATGCAACATGCAATGTCGCAGTAATAATGTGTGGTCAAGGGTACATTGCCGTCGGGAGTCAGAACAGGTGATTGTAACCACCTCATGGTTTAAAGCCAGTCCCCCCCTACAAAATACTCACATGTTATGGCACGTATTCTCTTAAGACCGCGCAGAGGGTGCATAGCAAGTTTGAAAACATTTCACGTGCATAATTGCTCGTAGTTCAAAGCATGCTACCCTTTACTCAGAATGCACCCGGGACAGAATATTGCTGTCGCGACCAAGTCCTGAAAGAAAGCTTAAGGGTCCCCAAATTTACAGTATACAACTTTTCCTTGAGACATTGAGCTTCAGCCAATCAAATTTTCTGCAGGTGGTGGTGATAAGGCCGCCGCTGGAATACACGCCTGCTGGTGACGGTGCTCCATGTGACGATGTTGTGAAGCTGGCGGGCACCATTTGTACACCAGCCGCATTCTGCAGTCAACACACCGAGCCAAGCAGGACAGGTGGGTCGACTGAGTTATTTACAATCGATGAGGATTATGTAAAGTAAGGAATATAGTGCAACGCTAACACCAGAGCAAACTAAGAACCAATAACAAAGCACTGTCTTGAAACTGAAATTTTAATAGGATATACCCTCAATATTTACAAATAAAAGAAAAAAAAACAAGGATTGAACACAGCAATAAGCAAAATAACCCTCAATAATGCATTGAAAACAAAAAAAAGAAACCATAAACACATACGAAACTCTGTCAATGGGCCGACATATGTAAGGTGAATTGGCGCACAATTATAAAAAACATTGACATGAGCAGGCTGCAACCACACAAGCACAAGTGCCATGTTTGTTTAATTTCAACTTTTTTGCCTCTTTCCGTGACGATTTTTTCATGAGAAATGAGAAAAATCTGTGTTGCTGCCTTCAGTAGTTTCCAGGTCGTTTAATCCCTGCTCCGATAAAAAATGAGATCTACTGAATTCTTCCGTGCAGCCACATTCGCTAAGTGTGAATCTACTAAAGAAAGAGTGGGGATAGCATGCTAAGGATTTGCAGTGCTCTCTTACTTTCCGTGTTGACAAGTTTTCCTGTTGATTTGGTGTATGCCTCATTTCACGAAAAGAGTCTTGTACACAACTCAAACGGCACGCATGACACATTACTTTGTGTGACTCGCACAATAAAACTGAACTTGATGGAAGTTTATCAACTGACATGGATTGCACGTACATTGCTAAATTTCCGGAGCCCTCCACTACGGCGTCTCTCATAATCATATAGTGGTTTTGGGACGTTAAACCCCACATATCAATCAATCATGCACGTACATTGCTTTTTTTTCTTTTTCAGAAAAAGCCGAATGCAGGAACCGAAACTAGGCTGTACTTCACGGGAGCGTAAAGCTCATTCGTGTAGCTTTAGCTTCTGAAAGAGTTGGAATCAAAATGGGGCAATTACTAATTGTAACGCGAGCTCAAGAAGGAAGTTTCTATTTCAAAATAAGCCAAATGCTGTGACTCTTTCAATCAAACTGGGCAATGCTCAGTAAACCAGCACTGTTAACAATCGTGACCAAAACAACCGACACGGTCTTATCCAATCTGTTTCATTTGGGTTCCTGTTGTTGCTATCGTGTTTACGTTCCACAATAATTTTTTGAGGGGTGAGTTGGCACCCCTCAAAAAGGATGTGATGTTGGGCAAAACTCGAACATAAAGAGTGAGAGGTCTACATTCCCACTTATTTATGCCTATTAATGTTTTTTTTCTCAGTTAAGGGCTACCGTGTAGTGCCTTTCTTTCGCTCCAAGATGGTATGTTTGGAATAAAAGATGTATAAAATGGAGGTACAGTCGAATCCCTTCATAAGATACACTGATATAAGACAAATGGGTATAAGAGGCGCCAGTGTATCTACAGTGAAATACGAGGGAATAGGAATGTGCATACGAGGTCCCCAGCTTATAAGAGACATCTCGTATAAAAGACAAGAATTGCTGCCCGGAGCATGCCTCTTATAATGGTGTTTAACTGTATTAGGGCACCAATCTATTCCTTGTAGAAGAAGTGATCTAAAGCGGAATGGCATAAAACATGCTTTGAAGAAGAAGAGCTGGAGCACTTCTGGAGGCCTTCATCAGATATCAAGAACAAAAAAATTGCTGCCAACAGTCTAGAATGGCGCACCCTTTGCCTGGAAAGATCACTTGCTCTTCAGTTCCACTTATCGCCATTACGCTCTAGGGAAGAACATGGGTGATGTTAACTTTAGCGCAAAATAGTGCTATACCGTACATTCGAATCACTTTACACTTTTTTACGAGTTAATTCAAGCCCAAACGAAGTTTTCAAGCCCATAAGAGCCGAATGCAAATTTTACTCTGGAATACTGACGATATTGAGCTGTATAGATTTTAGTTGCAATATACCGTAAACTACCGAGCAAGAGCACACACCCGAGAAAGGGCCCCTCTTAGATTTTTGAGAGATATGAAATAAGCGCCAAATAAGAAGCGAATGACCAGTCCGTGACCGACCTAGCGCCCCCTTCCCGAATCCGGTCGAATTGTCCTTCACCGCTGGGGTGGCGCTCGCTTGGCATTTTACGGCAGGTAGGTGTAAGGTATTGATCAGTAAAGGAACATGCTGGCAACAAATGGTTTGAGCAGGCCTTACCGTGTTCTTGGTTGAAAAAAGGTGTTTCCAAGTTTCAATTGAAGTGCGTTTGGCTTTTTCTTAAGAAAAAAAAGAAAGAAATGTCTCATATTTCCTCGCCACTGGTGACATCTGTAGTGGTGTACAACAACCATAGGGCCACATAATGGCAGGAGGGTGAAGATGTAAGCTTGCGATGAAAAATCAGTAAACAGGGTTGTGTCGAGCCGGCGTTTTCAACAAGCGGACTTGTGTTCCTCACGGCTAGAACAGAACTGAGGTATGAACTGAACGGAGTGGTGCCCCTTCCAGCCTCTAGTGAAAACGTCGGCTCGACACAACCCCTGTTTACAGATTTTTCATTACAGGGCCACATGACACTTTATATATTACTTTAACTGGCTCAAATGGTGATGTGAGCATTCGCACACGTTTTAATTTCGTTGTTCGAAGTTGAAGAACTTAGCTTCACTAAACTGTGCCCAGTTGCAGAGGGTCATACTGCTGAAGATATTACAGCATTTGACGGGTTGTGTGACGTACCTCTTCCTGGAAGCTATGCCGAACTTGCAATGTTTATTTGCTTTGAACGGATATGCTAGTGGATAACAAGTTGTCCTTCTGTCTTTAGCGGGAGATTTGATTCTATAAAGAAACGGGACAGGATGACTGCCAAATAAATAGATTTTTGATTGCACTGTAATTAGGGTCATTCACTCAAGTATGCATAAATCCGCATATTACTGCCTTCTATTTCTTGCAATTGTGTGTCAAGTGCCTTTGTATAAATTGTAATTTTAATACGTTCACTGACAGCTTACAATGATGCGCATCTAAAGGGGAAGGAGATATAGAGTGATGACTCTCTGAGACTGCTTATTAGGGTGCGCTTGAATAAAATTATTTCTGCTAGGTCAGTGTTCATAGCGGTAGTGTAATAGTAAAGTATTCAATAACAGAGCGAACTCTTTAATTGGGAAAGTTTGGCATTGTCCTTAGCGCCATAAGTGTGATTCGCCGCCTTCAAGTAGGAAAACTAGGCAAATCTGTTTACTACTAATCATTCTCATGGTCGCTGAATGATCGCAGCACCAGAGTCCTTTGTACACTCGAAACTCATTATAATAAACTTGGATCTTACATGAAAATAAGTTCATTATATCAGAAAATTCGTTAATGTTTATTCTTAACACTAAATCTATTGTGGGACTATTTTTCACTTACTTCGTTATAACCAATATTTCGTTATATCTGGATTTGTTATATTAAGGTTTGGAGTGTAGTTAATTTTAGGAAACTCTATGTCTTCTAGGCTATATTTGCCATTGATATTTTGTGGATGATATGAATGTCTTCACAAATCTATTTCTCAAGTTATCTTATCTTCAAAATTTTACGTTGGTTCTCCTTAAAATAGATTTAACTGACTATCTGAAAACTCGTGCTTACACCAGGAGCAACTTGCTTGCACATAACGAGAGGACAAGGCAGACCATGTTACTTTCTGTCACTTGGGGAAGGACAGCAGTATTGTGCCTTTTCCACGCTGCAGGTCTGTGGCGGCAGGCATAGCCGCATCCGTATGGAGGCGCACTCCAGGGTTTCTACGTGTCCACATCCTTCCCCAGTTACCTGAACACGAAATACCGACGACGGCTGACCCACTCAACTGTGTATTCCTTAGCCAGTCGACCATGGCTTCTCTAGGCTTGTCCGAGGGTTCCTGGGCTCAGGCATGGCTAGTAGAGCAGGGAGGCCGTGGCAGCCCTTCATCGGAGCCACAGCTCAAGTGAGCATTTGAAGCATGCTGTAGGAATGATGTAACATGCAACTCAGGCTAAATTGAGTTTTCACTGTGTCAAATTTTGCCCCTTGCATAATTAAACTCCAGGAACAATCATTGCCAATGTAGAAAAAGTTACATATGATACCGGTCGTTTTCCACTAAAGTATCTCGACGTTGCTTGTTCATTTTGTTTGCAAGCACTCTATGTTTGCATGACAGTAAATATGAATTCTATTGTTGTCAAAGCGAAAAATGTCAGTATTCCCACAAGGGCGGAACAGTAAATTCGATAGTAGCAAATTAGAATGACACACGAAGCAAGGCAACCCAAGCAGCTCGAAACTCTAAGTGCGCTGCTCAAACACAAAACAGGATGCATGAAAAGAATGCACAGGTATTCACAGAATGGGATGATCACGAGATAACAACTGTCACAGTTGTGATTTCTTTGTGTCCGAGCAGTGTGCTGCAACTCTCGACTATGCACAACCATCTAGCCCCTATTCTGGCTCTTCTAGCTGGCAGCTCAATCTTTTCACAAATGCGGACACTGCAGCAGGTAAAATAACTTTCATGTGCTGTACAACTTCAATGTAAACTTTGTGGTGAAAGTTTAGAATTTATGCACTAATTGCTCCCTTACGAAATATGCTTGTACTCACACGAGTGACCACGCCCTCTAGGGCAAAGCACAGGTAGTACTTGTAGGAGACGTGCATGCATCTCGGCCCTGGCAAAAAACTAGCAGAGCAACGACCTTTAAAGCGGGCACTTTACGACATCTCGCTGGTGGTAAACAGAACAGGCTGAAGCACCTCTGAACTGTGTACTGTGAGCGGTAAGCGTTGTGTGTAAACAGCTCTGTATTGGTAGGCTGAAGGACATATGCTTCATGGCAGCATCGTTTAATGCGATGTGCGGTGGAGCGGGAGGCCACAGATTCGATTCTCCGGTCATGCAACTTCAGAAAACATTTCTCCTGAATTATTTTATTTTGTGGCTTCTATATACAGGAAAACCTCAGCGATACGAATCTCATGGGGTCATCAAAAATCTTTGTATCATTCGAAATTAATATCATCATAAAACACGGAAGATTAGTATGACAAAAGAAAGTTGGCATAAGTTTTGATTTATTGTTTCTTAGTGCCGCAGTGACATCCTGAACAGCTGTGAATGATTGCCAATAAAGTTTTGAGGTGTCCACAATTGTACTTGCGCTGGTAAACATATAGCACATGTGTAAATAACAAACCAAATGTGTTGCGACCAATGACTGCTAGTAGCCCCTTCCTAATCCTTGTGCACTTTTCAAGCATGATGCAGAAGTACTGTGGCGAGAGTGACTTAAGAAGCACTTTACATGAAAACGAAACCATCTTAAAATTACTGTGCCATTTGCTGTTATTTGCTTATCAAAGTGGTGTTTGGGGTGCTTTTTGGCAGCCTTACAGCTGTGCCTGCCCAATGGCACACGCTTGAAATTCGGGAGTCTCACGTGCAATTCGGAGAGCCCGCACGTGTGCTCATAAGTTGCGAGGCCTAGCTCCTTTACCGAGAACCTCCGCTTCATCTTTTGTAGTCGTTATCCACCTTTCAGGGGGCTTCATGATGGTGCTGCTGCCCAAGCATCAGTCTTGTTTCATGGAATGTCTGATTGCAAGAACATGGCTTGCACCGACATAGCAGGCACGTGTGCAGTACGACGACGCTGCTGCTTCAAGCGCAGCATCATGTGTCGATGTGTTGAAAAAATAAGAAGCAGGGAAAAAAAGCGCAATGCAGTGCCACCTGCAACTTAAACTAGATGGTGCATTAAGGCCTCCAAGATTCGCGCTCAAAATCTCTGAGCCAACAATGCACCGCTGATGGTCGCGTAGCACGCATGTTCGCACCCATGTGTTATTGCTGCATCTTCTTTTACAGTGCATGCAACGCCTGTTTGTGCCTGTGCACTAAAGCTGTATCAAGAATCGGGTGGGGGGGGGGGGAAGAAATAATTTCACAACAGTCACACAGCTAATACATTGATGGCTAATGGGCCTTGCCTGGTACCCCAAAAAAATTCGTATTGAAATTCGTATGAGCTCTGATTTGATCACTGAGGATTTAGTGTATTTGCATACATATATGGACCATGATGGGACAGCAGTGTCGACGGTGACATCAAAACCGGCCGAGAGTTCATATAATTGCTATCGCAATAAAATGCGCTACTCTAAAAAACTCTTCTTTGAAGCTTCTTGATAGTCATAAACAAAACTGTGTCATTTTGTTAGGAGTACGTCACTAAAATAATGTTGGCTTCTACGTTAGCATGAGAGTCAAAATTGTGCCTATAGTACTATAGCACAAAATGTAGATGCTGGAAACAAAAGTAAATCCACTACTTAGCCCAAATTGTTTCGTTTCGATACTGTACATTATACATTCAGGCAGACTTTCATCCTGACTAGAATGATAGTTTTGTCATCAGATAAGATATATAGATTTGATTAGATTAATGGCATTAACATTAATAAATATGACAAGTAGAACATACATCACTTTACACATGCAGTTTTAAAACAATACTGATCAGAAGGTAGTCAGCTTTGAAATTCATCAGAGTTCTTGATGCAACTTTATCGATCAAACGTGCAATGGGGACATCACACTCGCAAATAAATGCACTTGATATCGTGGAAGCCTTAGATGTCTCTCAGAACACAAAAACTGACTATCGGCGTCAGCAGTGTCTTGCATCGGTGGTGTCAGAGTGATGTGAACAATTATCGCTCGATGTCACCGATTGCGAAAGTTTGTGATGTCGCGTGACGGCATCGTCATATGACATCATTTCTGTTAGAGGTGTGCCGATCGTGGAGGCGTTTGTAACACCACGCTATGTGCATAGAGCTTTTCGAAGGGTTTTGGGGCAGAATAAATTGAATTTGATCAAGTTTATTCATTGACCGAGTAGAAAGTGACGATAGCTTTCACATTTTAGTTATTTTAGGTGAATGCATGAGGGATTGTGTGCGTTTTGTGGTTTTTTTTTAAAGTGTATTAACAGAATTTCAAGACATTGCAAAAAGGACATTTTACATATCCTTGCAAGTGTTAACATTTGTCACACACTGGAGTCAACCAACACATATAAAATGCTTCTTTAAATTTTATTTTAAGGTTTTGTAATATAGCATAAGCAAGCCAGTCCCACCGCAATGGACATTATCTCGTCGAGTCAACAGAGTCCCGTTGAGTTTGTGAACTCTGCATCTAGCATCCAGCCTAAATCACAGCAATTGCTGTTGGGGTCACTGTAGACAATGCACTCATCGTTGTTTACGTGTACCATGTCATCGTTGTTTACGTGCAGATGGCAGATCTGCCGCTAGCACGTCGCGAATGGCTGTCTTCTCGTGATGTCACACTGCCATGGCACGGCATGGAGAAGCTGCCTCTTTAAGGGAACGGTATTAAAAATATATGCAATGTATTCCCAGGCACCACAGGGTTCTCGAAACTCGTGTTCCTGACGGTTCCTGATGCTGATGGTTGCCGCGCTATCGCAGCAACGATCAGCGTGCGGCTTGTGCCCCCACAGTTGGCAGGAGCTTCTACGCATTGTGCTTTCAACAGGATAAAACGGTGCCAGAAGTGTACCTGGAGCGGCAGTGTTCTCTTACACCAGTGTTTTTAAGAATTACTACTGTGGCCGCACTGCAGGAAACTTGGTTACTCAGCAAGTGCATGTTTATTACAACTAATATTGCTTCTAAAAGTGCCTTGCTTTGTAAAACAATAGAATACGTTGCAATCGCTTTCATTGCTTCGCCCTTTTCGTGAACCTGTGACTTTTATCGTGAACATTGACTGAAAGCTCAAAGGAAGGCTTGCATGTCGCGGGAAGCTGCATCACAAGTTTACCACGCTTCTGCTCTTCTTGGCTCCGGTGGTGCAGACGCGTGGTGGCAATCTGGAATGTAGAGAGGCTGCACGTGATGGAGAGTGAATTGGCAAGTGGCATCACGCAGCAGGACGCAGCGTTCCTGAGCCCCCACCTCTGGTTTCACCTGCACGACCGGGACAAGCCTGCGCTACTGGTCCGGCCCACGGCACGATTGCACTTGGTACACACTTATGCCCCATGTCATGCTTTTATCAGTTTTTGATTGTTTGCAAGAGAGCATACTTTGGTCTAGTTGGTTTGTTACGTTCCACAAAGCCAAAGCGCTGATGAGACCAGGACAACGGGAAGAGTACAGGACTTTTTGGCATGAAAATTGTAGCTGATTGTAAGGTGCACTTTTTAAACACTACTTTTTGGTAACAGCGTGACACCGTTTTAGATGACCAAGGAACTTGGTGCGTAGCATTGCCACCTGTCCTATTTTAGACCGCCCGGCTGGTTTTTTAGACAGCGGGCCATTGCAGATCTACTCTGATTGCCATTGGCTGTTTATTATTAATATTTTTTGTGGTAATATTGCAATTATTTATTTTTGGGGTGTTTGCGAGCGTCAGTTAAACAATTACGACGGCAAATATTTATAGTCAATCACTAAAACTTTTACACTATTGGTCTACCACATTTTGGGATCCCTTCAAGCGTAGCAATCATCGGAATATTTGTTTTGTGTGTATGGTTAATGAATTTGCGACATTTTCGTGGCATATGCAGTCTATACATTTAAACATTCGTTTCTGCCTGTAATGCCACTGGCCTGTTTGATTCAGACGCAAGGAAGAGACTTTTATGGACGAAGTACTGTGGTTCCTTTTTCAGTGCAGCACATTCAGAGTAATAATCGAAGTGTCATACCAGTCATGGGTATTTTTATGCCAGCAATAAGATTACGGTGGGCTCACAATAAACGAAGCTCCTGCTAAGCGAAACATATTTTCTTGGTCCTTTCAGATTCCATTTAATGAGAGTATACGGTTGGTTATCTCAGTTTGCTATTTTTGTTTGTTCATTAGGTGTATTTTTCTCAAGGAAAGCAATGTTATATTAAACGGCACTGCATGCACAAGACTTAACAGCGTCTATTGTTCAGCATTAGTTTAAACTCCTGATAAATTATCCTGTAAGTTCTGTAAGTTGAGTTGTCGTTGCTCCGCCCATGTTTGTTTACGCCAGGCATACTGAGTATGTGTATGAAGCTGATACAATTCATGTTAGCAGGACCCGCGGCGTTGCCTTGCAGCTCTTCACAAGAGATTATCTGTAATATAGCTAAATATGCCTTTTACAGGTTATGTTCAGAATCTATTTGCATCATTTGGGACGTGGATTAATTGACAGAGACATACATGCCATAATTTTTGAGCTGACCTGTGAAAGCGAACGTACTGATTTCGAAAGCACCGATTGGTGCGTTGAAGCAGAGCTATCAACGAGCGAAGGCCTATTGAACAATTCTAGTGCTGATGATGAGAGCATGATGTTTGAATGTAATCATCAATGCATTGGTAATGATGATCAACATATATAAAAAAATATGTCGAAGTAAACCTCTGGGCAAGCAAATGGGCCTTGAATGATGTTAATGATGGTGATAATAAAAGTGTTCAACACGAGGATTAGTGGGCTGGTGATAGTGCTAATGAATGATGACGGTGAAAGAGTTGAATCAAAGCTGTTCGCAAGGGGCCACGTGACTGTTTATGATGATGAAGGCATTGATTATGGTAAGTAGGGGTGATGGTAATGGTTGATGCATTCAAGCTGAGCCGTCAGCAGCCAAAGTTCCCTTGTATAAAAAAAAAAAAAAAGATGATGGACCAAGCGTAAATAGTATTCTCAGCGTCCACATGTGTGGACTCTTGTTTTCTTTTTGATCTAAAGCTACATTTTCTAAATTTTTTGTTTATTCCCACTTTCGTATGTATTGTCAGTGCACATATGCAAAAAAAAATTATTTCTTGTGCAACTGGATTGCCTATGGGATGCAAAGGTTTAGGCAGCCTTTACAAATAATGTCAAGCAACTAGTCCAACTGGTGCTCTATTTCAGTGCTATTTCTTTGGCAAGATTATTTCAGATGACTCTAGAGCTGATTGTGTGACTGTTCAAAGAAAGACTTGTGGGAATGTCAGTGAGAAAATACATAGCCAATGCAGGTGTCCATCTCTTGTGGTGATACAAGCTAAGCCACTCTAAACAGTTACAGTTGGTACTTGTGCGACATTGCGTAGGAACAGTTTGATTAAACAGAACAAAGGTGTTCATTGATACGCACGTTTCTGGTGGGTAGCATTAAAGAAATTGTAATACTTGTGTAACCGTAATCAGTTTTGCCATTGTTTTCCATACCTGTTTCATTGCATACCAATCAGTTGCTGACAAAAGCAACTGTGCACAAGTTTTCACATAGTACGTATTCCCCTTTCTAGAAGCTACACTGCAGCACCTCCAGGATTGGTCCTGCTTGTGATCGTACGGGCTTTAATGTTCTTTCATTAAAATGCAGCAAATCGGTCATCGTGCTGCTATGTCCATCATGCAGCCATTTCATGTCGCGCACAAATGTGTGTGCCTCTTCGTTAATGCTCTACAGGACCCTGAATGATACTGGCTTGGCAGTTATGTGCAAAATATTCGGTGTCTCATTAATTTACAAATTGTGCGAGATCTGCGGAATGTATTTCTTTTTTGATTTTTTGACGCCCTCTCTGTTTCACAGGAAGCGTTGGAAGGTTCCAGTAAGGGCATTCCACCAGCGTCGGCTCAAGAGTTCAACCTGGCCATCGTGCGAAGCCCCCTTTACAGCCACACTATCGAGTGCACTGCATTACTCAAGGAGCACTTCTCGAGGCCACGGTAAGAGTGCACGTGCTTGTAGTTACAGTACAGAATACTTCACATCTGCATAGAGGCCTTTAGGTGTATGCACTTTGCAAAGTAATTCGAATTAATGTGTCATCATAGTGTGCTTGAACCGGCCCTGCAACAATTTTCCAAGTAATTGTCCAATGGCTCGTTTAGGGAGTTCATTACCTCGCATATCTACTGCAACAAAAGTGCTAAGAATTCGTCGAGTACAAGCATATTCACTGGGATTTTTTTCACGCCCAAAGCTGCATTGGGGGTGAAGGAAATGACTATGCAGCAAGAAGTTACGTCTGTTTGTCAGCTTGCGTCCTGACCTTTAGTGCTTTTTCTTTTCTTCATAGAGCACTCAGCTTTGAGCGTGGTTGCGAGTGTGTGCATGGGCACTTGTCGACGTGCGCGCGTTCGCAGTCACGTTTTTTGGCAGCTGCAGGTACTATGCAACTCCCAATACTCAAGTCAGCCACTGGCCATGGGCTTTGGGTGTATGGCATCATTTGTTGAGACAAGAGGAATTGAGTTCTTGCTGACTTTAAGAAGTAATTGCAAATTCCAGGCAGCTTGATGGGCTCTAATGTCTGACTCACGTGTTCTCCAGAAGCTTTGACTATTGACTGGTGGTGTTTTCGGATGACGCTGAAAAACTGCAAGGCCCCTGTAAGCAACTGCCCGAAGCAACGTTCTGTACAAGTTGGGGCTTATGGTGTATGGGGTCTGAAAGTTATCCGCGCTTATTGAACATGTGGATTGAGCAATACACATGGTTGTTTATTGTCATATTTTACATCGGCAAGCTCGGCAGTCGAATTCGATGCACTACTGGTCACACGACAAATATTCTAATATGACAACAGTACAACACTCAGAGAATATAACATACGATTAACCACAAATGTGGTGTCGCCGACATCTGACTCGTCACGAAGGCCTGTGGTCCCGAGCTGTGAAATCGTACCCAGAGACCTCGCCGAATGCTGTCCGTCGCTGACCACACCAAACCGTAAACGGGAGAAAGACATCTTCTCCAAGCGGCCGAATAACCGCGCTTCCACCAAGCAGCCTTACCGAAGCCAACGTGTGACCAGAGCATCATCTCTCACTCAACGACAAAACTGACTGCGACTAATGGTGCATTCAGGCGACAGACTAAATCTGGATTTGTCGTGGACGCGGACGGCTAGTCCGTAAATGATCCACCTGTAGGCGCATCCACACGGCGGACACTTCATAGGAGAGAGCAGCTGGATTACTTTCGACTGCAACTTCTGCGCTCACCTCTGCGCTCACCTGTGCCCACTGTCAGTAGGCCGGTTTGAGAGTATTCAACATGTAGGCCGACAATGTGAAGCCCACCGAGCATTGTCGAATAAGGTCGACAACTGTAATTTCTTTCAGTGAAAATGGCGTTGCTGGCGGAATAGCTAGATGGAAAAGAGAAATCTGCTTTACAAAAAGCTGCTGAAGACTCACTTTGTCACTGTTGCGCGTGGGGCCTGCATACGAAGGGAAGATGCTGTGATGTGCCGATATCAGCAGGCTTTTTCTTTTGTAGTCAACAGGTAATCACCGAGCGCATTGCGCTTGTGCACATTACGTCTCCTTCTCTTGGTTCGCATCTTGGCCTTAAAGTTGGTGCGCAGACATGGGCCATGTTCCGAGATTTAGTAAGCACTTGATAAATGTAAAGTTGTGGCTTGCTGAATAATACACCTCTTTATGATTAACAAGCTGCTAGGTAACCTCTCACTAATTAATTGCGTCATGGCATCGATTATGTGACACTTTTAATTTTTTGTTATGTGAGAGGAACGTGTCGTAATTTCTCCTGTAACCTCTCAACATTGCAGCTACATCTGCAATGGGGATATTGTCACCATCAACCTCCGCGGTGAGTCACCTCGGCTTTCTTTCCTCTTCACTCGGACAACCTTTGATATCTAACTAGGGCAAAAAATTACTAACAACTATGATACATCAGGCACTAAACTAGAGGCCACTTTTATGTCTTGGTGTTTGTAAATGTTGTATATTATTCACTTTCTGCTTGTCGGTTAGGTCTCATAATTCCAAACTGTGAAGTGGAATCTCAATTATAAGTCCCCCAGTTTAGCGATGACCCGCATTTTACGATGAATCGACTTGGTGCCGGCATAACCCTTATAGAATTAATGTATTAATTATTAGAAACCTCAATTATTTGACACAATTTTATGCTGACCTCGCATCTTACCAGGACTTTCGGATAACATCCGAGAAAAAAATATTACCTTTCTATTACTCAAATCTAAAGCTAACCAATTGGCTGGTGCAAAGTAAAAACTTACGTGCCCCTAGGTTGACCATTAGAAAAGTAGAAAGAGTGAGACAGTGTGTTTTCTTAGAATGAAAGATTTCTTCTGTGAGTTCATCTCCTTTTGTGATCGTGTTTTCCTGGCTTTCTCCCAGGTAAGCCTCGATGGTGTGCATATTCAGAGTCACCACATATACAAGTTCTATCCACATCTGCAACCTTTGAATTCGAAGTTTGTGGGTTCGGATACCAACAAAAATGGTGGTTTCTCAGATACTTTTCTTTCTTTCAATTTAATTCACAATCATTTACATTACATTTAAACAACCACAAAAAAAAGTTTCCCTCAGCTTTCCTTGTCTTTAATTGTGTGTTGGTTTCATTTGTTGTTTACAATAAAGAAGAGCCTTCATTCCTTCATTTCGTTCATTCATAGCGAGGGTCTCGTTCTGGCAGACTTAATGCCTTTAAGTGGTATGTGAAGGATTATTGGTCAGCTGCCAGTTCGTAATGAGATTACGTGCTACGTGACACCAACATGCAAAAAAAATGAGTGTCCCACACTCGCCCCAATGGCAACAGGGGGCGCTGACTGAGGCTCCCACATTCAAAATGCACACAAATACATACCCCATAAAGTGGATGACAAGATATCCATCGTGGTAGCTCAGTTGGTAGAGCATCAGACGCGTTATTCGAAGGCTGCAGGTTCGGTCCCTGCCCACGGGAAGTTATCGTTTTGTCCACTTTTCCTTCTTCACAATTGTGTTACAATTACTTCTGATAACATCCCCTATACTTTCCTTGGCATAATTGTTTGCAAACTCTCATTAACGCTGTATCTAACACAAGAAACGAGCCCTTCAATTTACTCTTTCCTTCAACTGCTGAACAGAAAAGACAGCCGATAAACGAGACTGCGGGTGTTGTTTAATCATCAGAGCTCCGGCAATTTCATGGCTGTGTGGAGCCATGTAATGTATGTACTTTAGAAGTACGCGAGTGTTTAGTCTTGTGTGGGAATTATGGAAGGACATCTTTCTCTCTTGTTCTCAGGTTCACCGTGCTATGAGGAGTACCTCCCGGATGGCTCATCGCAGAGGTACGCTCTGTTCTGTGTTTGACTTTGTTTATAGATCGTATGTTGATATGACAAATTAGGATATAAGGAATTATTTATAACGAAGTAAGTGAAGAATAGCTTTGCCAAAGATACAGTGTTGCATGTAAATATTTGTAACAAGTTTTCAGATATAATGAAGTATTTTTGTGGCCGATGTGACTTCGTTGTAATGAGGCTTGTGTGTAGCAATTTTCTATGCAAAAAAAGGCTGCTGGAAATTTGTGCCTTGAGGCAAACTGTGTCATTACAAAGTTAACGCTTTGTTACTAGCTCCTTGCATTTCGCTTGACAAATCTCGTGTCTCGAGTCTCGGCTGTCGTTTCTTCAGTAGCTGAGTGCAGGGCTTGTGTTTACAATAAAGAACCACTGATGTCAGTGGTATTGTGCGGCCCTTCAAATTTTCTTCTAAAATCTTTCGAAAATTCTTTTCCAGGAATCATGTTGTGTTCTTCAAGGCCACCCAGCTGCTTGGCCCCGACAACGGGGGGCCCGGTTATTTCTGTGACACCAACACCAGGCTTTACCAGGTGAAGCTCTCGTCATGACCTTCATTTGCTGGTGTGCGTTATTGCTGTATTCTAGTCTGTGGCAGACCACGACATAAACCGTTTCGGCAGTTAAAAATGGTGCGTGTCCTGTTTTGAACCTGGCCGCCGAGCTCCTAGCACATTAATTAAACATGGTCTGTGAAGCCTTTTTCAGGTGAGGGCCACAGTCCAGGCACAAAAGTGTAGATACTGTATATATAAGTACATCCATTAGCCAGTTTCATTCATTCGGTGTTCAAGTCTTGTTACTAAAAAAAAAGATATCTGGGGTTTTAGGTCCCAAGACCAGGATATGACTATGAAAGATGCTGTGTTTGGAGGGCTCCAGAAAGTTTGGCCATCTGGTGTTTTTTAATGTGCAATGACATTGCACGGTACACCGGACTCTAGCATTTCACCTCCATGGAAACACAACCGCCGCGGCCAGATTGCAGCCTTGATCTCGGGGTCAGCAGCTAAGCACACTGCTCCACCACGGTGGACGTTCGAGTTTTGTTATGACAACACAGTGATACATAGCTGATGCTGCCTCATGTCAACGCTGCCTCATGACACGACGTACACAGGACTAAGTGGTTACTACACGTGGTTGTGCAACTCCTTTCACTGCTGAATGGAAGTAGAGGCTGATCTACTGTCAATGCCAGTGCACGTTAAAGAACACGAGATAGTAAAAATTTCCGCAGCCCTTCACTACGGAGTCCCTCAAAATCCTCTCGTCATTTCAGGATGTTAAAATCCAGATATTATTATTATTACTCTTAAATGGACCATGCAGTGAGAATCCTTCGTTAGGTTCACAGTTTAGACATGACATGAAGGCCCACTAAATTAATATTTCATGTGACTATATTAACTGCAACTGGTGAAGGTTGGTTAAGATTTCAGTTACTCTATGGTAGTAGCTGGATTACTAGCCAGTTACCAAATTTACTTGACTTTGATGTGACCACGATTGTAACACGATTGATGACTTTTCGTTGCACCCAGAAAGAAAATAATAAAACATAAATAAAATAATTGCATGCATCATTGCACTTTTCAGATAACTTGAATTCAGGTAACTTCTGTATTCAGTCAACTTCAGGTACCAAAATTCTGGAAAAAAGCTCGCGTCGCATTAGAGTAAGTATGGTATTCCCGTTGTGGTGAGGAAGAGGAAAAAGGTGAGTTTGTGCATCTGTTGCTGTGCTTGTAATCTACCTTCATGTTCTGCTGATGATACTGCGACTATGCGTCGTCGCCTCGTGATAGTCATGCATCAGTAACAGTAAATTGTGTTGTGCCGAAAGATTTTACAGACTTGGTCACGGAGTCATTGAAGCCCAATTGACAAAAAATCTGGGTTGAAAAGTGTATTAGTGCACCCTCTATTCCACTTTCTCAAGTGAGGAATTCGATTACCGAGCTGGGTTTCAGAGCTCGAAGCATATCAAACGATTGTACGCTTGAAGCATATCAAATGATGTGGAAAAGATGCAAGGGCCTTTTTCTTTCGTTGTCTCATACTCTGTCTCATGCCTTGTACATACCATATTTACACGATTGTAGGTTGACCCATTTGGCTTAGTTTGAAATCTCAAGGTAGGAGGATAGACCTAGAATCTTAAACTATTTTTGGTTGTAGAGCCTTTCTGAAAATAATCCCTGCGCATTTTTGCAGGGCTACCTTTTATGCACAAATTTTAAATGCTGCCGTGGAGCCATAATGGCTCACTGGAATTCGACCGTTTCTTTTTTTTTGAAGACCCCGTAAACAAATTTTTTAAAATGAGATTTGCTGATGCTCTCCTCTCTGTGGTGGTGTGACTTTGGTGGGGTCTACCTATATTCGAGTCGACTTACAATCGTGTAAATACGGTATGCACTTTTTCATTGAAATGAAACTAGGTATTTATAAGTCGGTGCTCTTTTCCTCCATTCGTCTCGTCCCTTTCCAAAATCTTCTATGCGCTGCCAGTATTTAGAATTGATCTCGCTTCTTGCTGATATCGTCATCAATCTCTTTCGTCCAAGGCGGGCACCAAGGGCTGCTATGTGCCTGCTGCCATGGCTGCCTACCACCGCTCCTGGGCCCCCCACCCTGTCTGGGATGCGCCCCAGCCCCCGCATCTGGCTCCCATAGTCGAGCGTCTGCAGTCAATTCTGCTGCCTTTTCTTCAATCTGGGTGAGCGAGGTGGGCCTTAAAATTCCACTGAAGTGGATCGATGAATCGGTTCAGACTGATAAATTACACTCTGAAAACTATTGTCAATTTCACCATTATGGGCTCATGGATAGACGAGGAAATTGAGGCCAGTGTTTCATTTCGAAACTTTGCACCGCGATCTCTGCACTTTATGTCATGGATTTGAAAATGTTTTATTCATATTTCAGCTACACTGCCTCAACTAACTTTTCTGAAACTTGGTACACTAACTCTATGGCTCCCAGAGAGGACAATGTGCTTTATATCATTGTGATGGCAATTATATGAACACTCTTGTCTGATTTTTGCCATTGCCGTCAGGTTCCGGATATTTAAAAGTATGCATGTACATACATATATGAAATCTAAAAGACAATAATGCCAAGGAAAGTATAGGGGAAGTTATTAGACGGAATGGTAATGTAAATGTAAAGAATGAAAAATAGGGGAAAAGATGGGTGAAAAGATAGCTTGCCGTGGGCAGGAACCGAACCTGCAACCTTCCAATAACGCTTTCAGTGCTCTACCACTGAGCTACCCTATATACCCAATAAAGTGGCTGGGAGAATAGCTGCCGTGGTAGCTCAGTGGTAGAGCATTGAACGCGTTATTATTTGGCAATGAAGCATGTTACCAGAGCTACGCCAGGTCTTGGAACTACTTTTCAAAAAGACTCTAGTCTTCGAGAAACGTCACTAGTGGTTGCACTGCTGCCTACCTAATTTTATAAACATTATATATGTACTTCTTTGATACAGCCGCCACGTCGGGTTAACGTCAATTGTAGTTAGTTGCCATGCGCTGAAGTTGATTTATGCAGCAGTGTCCATGGTCAGCATATTTGTGAGCATCAGTGCTTCATATCATCAGCATCTGGTGTTGCTAATAGGCACGTTCCTGTTGGCATCGTTGCGCAAGTGCAAACAACTGGTTACATGCACATCTGCAACTCTTCAGCATATCTCTGTACGTGCAACATTTGTACATATATTTAGCGTCATGTCATGACAGTGTCGCTCAAGAAAAAAATTGCAACACGGTCACCTTCCCTTCGCATGCTTCGCACAACGTTGATTGCCAGGTACAAGGGATCTGCCGAATTTTCTTTCTTCACATTTACATTACAATTCAGTCTAATAACTTCCCCTATAGTTTCCTTGGCATTATTGTCTGTTAGATCTCATTAATATTATGTCAAAACACGGAAAAACGAGCCCTTAAGTATACACTTCCTTCCCTTATATACATATATGTGTATATATGTGTGCGTGTGTGTCAATATATAAATAACGCACAAAGAAAAGTCGGAAGGAAAATTCTAAGGCACCCACTGGAAGTTCGAACCAACGACTCCTCGCTCCTCAGCATGCTACGTTAACCAACTAGGTCATTCCTCTCATACTGTCCACCTCACTTACGGTGCGCTGTGTACACTCAAACCTCGTTATATCGAAGTTGAAGGGAGCCACAATTATTTCATTATATCAATTGTAACTGTTTGTGGTAATGTATGCTCAGGTGGGCGCACACCTATAAGCATGCAAAGAAGGAAACCGCCTCATGGCTCGATGTACCGCTACACAACCACGCGTGAGACAGAAAATAAACACAGTCGAGTCTCATTTATTGGAACATGCTTAATTCAAACTACTGGTTAATTCGAACTCGTGCTGTGGTCTCGTCAAAGCTATGTGTATTCAATTGGGTGAAAACTAGGGGTGTGTGAATATTCAAAAGGTTTGAATATTCGGTAAATATTTCATTTGTACTATTCGTATTCAACTCGATAACCAGTTATTCGAAAATTTCAAATATTCGAACTAGCTTGAATATTCCTGAATATTCGATGTTCACAAATATTCGTTCGTAGGCTTGCGTGATTATTTAAATGCTTTAAATATTCAAATGATTACTAGAGTATTCAAACTCTCTTTGGTTCGAATTTAAATTATTGAAAATTTCAAAGTATTCGCAAGGAACGAATAAGTGCATAATATTTTGAATGTACCATCTCTAAAGGGGGTTTCACTGCAGTGTAGCGGTGGTGAATCGTGAACGCATTTATTCAGGAAAAATTCACTCAGCCGCGAAGCCCCCCTTTAAATTTAAAGGGGCCCTGCAACACTTTTTGATCATTGTCAGAACACGCTGCTGATCGGTAGTCGAGGCTACCGAGGACACGCAAGCCAAATATTATAGCGCAGCACGTGGCTTGCGATTCACAATAAATTCTCAAAGCCAGCTGAAAATTCCTTTCTTCTCCTCTCGGCAAATGACTCCATAAGCTCAGAAAGTACGTGTGACATATTTTCTTTTCTCGTGCCATCCCTGCCTGTTTAGCTTCCAGTGCTTTCGTCGAGATGAGAAGAAAAAATGCACTAGCAGCGTGTGAGAAATCTTTGCAACTCCGCCCGTACTGAACGGATTCTAATAATATTTCCTGCGGTGAATTCGAGGCAATAAATAAGCTTCTTTAGTGAATGTATTCTATTGCTACACGAAAAAAATGTCGCACGGCCCCTTTAAGTGAAAATATTATTCTCAAATAAATTTCCGGAGCTTTCCACTGTGGTGTCTTTCATAATCACATTGTGGTTTAGAATATTAAACACTAGCAATCATCATCATCATAAACATTGAAGTGTCCGATGGCTAGATCACTGGTGGTTTGGGTTCACTGAAGCGCATACAGTTGGATGAAAGGGGCATTTCAAGATGCCTGTGGCTCCACTTTCACTCTGAAGCAACAAAAAAAAATTGCTCGCATCGAGTCCAGGACTATTTGGGAAGTTGCTGGTCCTGTCATGCCTGTGAATTCAGTTCTCATCAAAATGCACACTGCTACTATCATGGAAAAACTCAAGTCGCTGCCCCAAATGAGTGGTGGTCATGCTTGTGCCATTAAAACATTGCACGGCTTCAGCTTCATTATCGCAACAATGCGCATCTCTCCAGGAACCTTGCTGACTGACGTCATTAACTTCTTGCTGCACAACTTCCGTGCGGTGTGCTTACAGGACATGCCGGTAATAGTCACAGGAGACTTCAGCGTTTGTACTTCGACGTGAAAACCAGCGGCTTCTCCCGTTCCTCGATGCCGACCTTGGACTACGCCTCCTGTTGGACGTCACACAGTCAACTATTCACAACACCTGTCAAGATACTGTGGTTACTGCATTACTGTCTATTCAAGCACAATCGACCATGTTCAGTACATTTCATATGGTTCCTAAATCTCCTAGCCTTACTTCGTATATCAGCCTGATGTATTGCTATCGCATTCATTGCTTCGGCCTTGTGCTGAAATTGTTACTTTTTTTTTTTTTTAACAATCAGCAACTACTGTAAATGATTACTTGCGCTCTAATCTTCATGGGTTCCCCGCAGGGGCGCCTGCGCAAGTAGGCGTTTGGTGTGTAGCGACACCACAGACCCGAGCTAACGGGGGAGTTTCTACTCCCTTCAACGCCTAGCCGTGCGTGGCTTTGCCGTGTCCGGGGAAAAGGGGATCCTGGGGTTTGAGCTGGGTGATTGGACCTTTAAGGCCCCCCGGCAGAGGCAACACACCCCTTTGGCCCCGGCTTCACGTAGACGGCACCCCTGGGCTGACCCACCCAGGGGAAATCGGCAGTCGCCTTTTCCTATCTCCCTCTCCCTACATCTTCGTCTTTATCTCTTACTATTTATCTGTCCTGTCTTCTACTCTCTTCCGTTTACTTCCAAACTTCCTGGCGGCTAGGGTTAACCCTGTGCAAATAGCCTACCTTGGTCTAGGCGCATTGGGCTATAGTTGCGTTGTACGGCTGGCGTCTGCAGGTTTTAGCATCCACAAACTTGTAGCGTCCCCTCGTTGGGCTCCGTGGTGGGTGGCCGCCAACGCTTCTGAAGAAAATTAAACTGGCATGCATAGAGCATTTCCCTTATTAAGTGATCGTACCGCCTTAAAGCGTGTACGCACCGAAGACTTAGGCTTTTTCAACCGATCAAGTGAAAACTTCCCCCATTTTCATGTTATACATAGTGAGATAAGCAGCAAGCAAGCCAGAACTGTATCCCCCTTTGTAGTAGCCAGATTTCTCACAGAAACTCTTGGAGCCGGGTACAAAGTTACCAAAATGGCCAGCGGAGACCTCCTCCTTGAAGTTCGAGAAAAAGAACAGTTTGAAAAGCTACAGAATCTATCAACTTTTGGTGACACTTCCATCACTGTAACGCCACACAGATCGAGGAACACAACCCGTGGAGTAGTATCTGATGCTGATTTGCTCGGCTTGACTGAAGAAGAACTTCTGGAGGGGTGGAAGAGTCAGAATGTGACCAATGTACAAAGGATCACCATTAGATGAGACAACAAGGTAACACCAACGAAACACCTGATACTCACGTTCGCTTCCAGTAATCTGCCAGAAAGTATTCAAACAGGGTACACAAAGATGTCGATCAGACCATACATACTTAACCCGCGTCGTTGTTTTAAATGCCAGAAGTATGGCCACGGCTCACAAAGCTGTCGTGGTCACCAAACTTGTGCACAATGTGGAGTGTCAGGCCACAATTCTGACAATTGTGAAGAAGCATCACACTGTGTGAACTGTGGCGGAAATCATGCCGCGTACTCACGTTCATGTTCTTTCTGGAAAAAAGAAAAAGAGATCATCACTTTAAAGATAAAAGAAAACATTACATTTAAAGAAGCAAGAAAAAGAGTCTCGCCATTTTATGGCCCCACATATGCTGATGCGGCGCGCCAGGGGGCAGTGTCACACGAGCCCTCGCCAATCCTTCGGCCTGCGCAGAGCGAGCCATTGGCTGTGGCGCCTGCCCCCAAGGCGGCAGTAGTTGAGTCTACTCCGCCTACTATTGAACAGAGACCAGAGACTCCAGGGTCCTCGAGTCTCAAGGCCTCACCTCGCCAGGCGAGGCCCAAGCTTCGAAAAACCAGCTCGCATGAGCGGGCATCCAGCGCCTCCGAGGAGGCA